CTCTTTATTTGCTGAGTTTGGGAACATGTTAGTACAAGTAATGGCTGTGTGCTTTGCCCTGGTGTTGATGATCTTACTGTGCTGGGGGAGTTATCTTCTGGGGAGGATGAAGGAACTTGGGACTGTCCTAGTACAAACAGTGGCTACGTGCTTTCCTCTGGCTTTAGTGACCTTGCTGTGCTTGGGGAGCTATCTTGTGGAGAAGGTGAGGGAACACATCTCTCTCTCCCTAACCAGGATTGATGTGGATGGTTTTATTATAGAGGCTCCTGAGGTCTTTGCTTACCCTTACGTGAGCTGTTTAATACTGCTAATTAATACTGTTGGCATATTACGGGTTTTGTGGAATCTGGTCTCATCCTGGTGCAAGTGAAGACAACTTTTGGATGAGATGATATTGAAATGTGCCTTGAGGCAGCCGGTCCCTAGGTGACAGGGTGTGTGGAAGGATTTTGGCAGATTTCTAGGATGGTTTTCACCTCCCATAGCCTGGGACTTTACACCTGAACAAGCAAGCAATCCTGGCAAACTGACATGCTACCTGATAGAAGGGTGCCTTGCCTACCCTAATGAAAACCAACAGCTTCTAGCACTGTACTGGGGCCTGGTCTGTGCCTATTGAGCCGCAGTTCAGTACTCTGAGAGCTGTGGTTGAGGCAGGAACCCAAACTGCATCTGAGGACACCATAGTTGAGATAGGGACCCAAACAACAACTACAGCAATTGCCCCAGTAGTGAAAAAGAAACAGTGGACAAGGAGAACAACAGGTCCATATCATCAATTAGTAAGGGAGGAGGAAGAAGAGGAAGTGTTTGATCTAGAAGCCAATCCTTCGACAAAAAAATTGGAGGAAGGAGTGAAAGAATTCAAATGGGAAGCAGAAACTACCTGGTCCCTGGCATCATCAGAACTTCGAGACCTACGGAAAGATTACAGCCGACAGCCAGGTGAATGAATTGCTGCCTGGTTGGTCCGATGCTGGGATAATGGGGCTGACAGTCAGCAACTGGAAGGTAAAGAAGCCCAATAGGTGGGACCCCTTGCTAGAAACCAGGGAATTGAGAGAGGAATTGGAAGAAAGGCAGCAATTTGCAGTCTCTGGAGATGGCTCCTCTCAAGTGTGAGGGCAAGATAGCCATTCAAGGAAGATCTTGTGAACTTCCCAGGAAAGCGGACTACCGCAGAAGAAGGCATCAAGTACCTCAGAGAATTAGCAGTGCTGGAAGACATCTACAGTGATCTAGATGATGATCAGGTCTCCGAAGATCCAGAGGATGTCCCGTGCACACAAAGGAAGGTGATTCAAAGTGCCCCAGCATCCTATTCTAACAGCTTGGCAGTGATGTGTAGCCCGGATATGGATACGCCAGCTGTGGAGAGAGTGTGTTCCTGGCTCCAAAACTTTCAAGAAAATCTCTGCCTTCTCATCCCTATGGGCCAGTGTCTTGGCTACAGGGGTGCCCCAAGAAATCAGTCCTCTTCTGCCCCGGTCAGAGGGAAAGGGAGCGTTGGGCGCATGCCACATGGTGCTCTGGTTCTTCCTGTGTGACCAGGGGGAGGATGTGAGGAGATGGGATGGTGAACGCACCTTCAAGCTGGAAGCCCACGTACGCGAACTGAGAGGGAAGGCAGCTGTTAAGAAGGGGCCACCCAAGAAGGCTGTCAGCTTAGTTGCTGTAGAAACACAAGGAGGAAATCGGTGATCTCCCAGACATGGGAGAGCTGAAATCACCTCCCTTAATCCTGGTGAGGGGACTTCTGGTCTGGCACTGCAAGGGTCAGACAGTGAATACTCTGACCAGGAACAAGAATAGAGGGGACCCTGCCTTCAGCCAGGAGGAGGAAAGGGATGACTAGGTTTACTGGACTGTGGGGATCCGATGGCCTGGCACATCAGATCCTCAGAAGTATAAGGCTTTGGTAGACACTGGTGCATGGTGTACGCTGGCGCCATCAGGGTATAGGGGCACAGAATCTATCTGGCTCTCTGGAGTGACAGGGGGATGCGAAGAATTATTGTGTTGGAGGCTGAGGTGAGCTTAACAGGGGACAAATGGGAAAGGCACCCCATTGTGACTGGCCCAGAGGCCCCTTGTATCCTTGGCATAGACTACCTCAGGATGGGGTACTTCAAGGACCCAAAGGGGTATCAATAGGTTTTTGGTGTAGCCACTGCGAACACAGAGAAGATCAAACAATTGTCTACCCTGTCTGGCCTCTCAGAAGATCCTTTCATTGTGGGATTGCTGCAAGTTGAAGAACAGCAGGTGCCAATTGCTACCAGGACGGTGTACCAGCAACAGTATTGCACAAACCAAAACTCCCTAGCTCCCATCCATGAGCTGATTCATCAGCTGAAGAGCCAAGGAGTCATCGGCAAGACTCACTCACCTTTTAATAGTCCCATATGGCCAGTGCAAAAGTCTGACGGAGGGTGGAGGTTAACAATAGGCTATCGTGGCCTGGGTGAAGTGACACCACCACTGAATGCTACTGTACCAGACATGTTAGAGCTCTGATACGAACTGGAGTCAAAGGCAGCCAAGTGGTATGCCACAATTGAGGTTGCCAATGCATTTTTCTCAATCCCTTTGGCAGACCTCAGTTTGCTTTCACTTGGAGGGGTATCCAGTACACCTGGAATCGACTGCCCCAGGGGTGGAAACACAGCCCCACCATTTGTCATGGACTGATCTAGGCTGCACTGGAAAAGGGTAATGCTCCTGAACATCTACAATACATCAGTGACATCATTGTGTGGGGAAGCAAGGCAGAAGAAGTGTTTGAGAAGGGAAAAAGTAATCCAGATTCTTCTGAAAGCTGGTTTTGCTGTAAAGAAAAGCAAGGTCAAGGGGCCTGCACAGGAGATTCAGTTCTTGGGAATAAAATGGCAGGATGGATGCTGTCATGTGCCTATGGATGTGGTCAACAAGATATCAACTATGTCTCCACCAGCTAACAAGGAAACACAAGCTTTCCTAGGCCTTGTAGGGTTCTGGAGAATGAATATTCCAGGTTATAGTCAGCTTGTGAGCCCTCTGTATCGAGTAACATGAAAGAAGAACTATTTTAAGTGGGGCCCGGAGCAGCAACAAGTCTTTGGGCATATCAAACAGGAAATAGCTCGTGCAGTAGCTCTTGGGCCTATCTGGACAGGACCATCTGTGCAAAATATTCTTCACACTGCAGCAGGGGAGCATGGTCAGTTAGAAAACATCAGGAGAAACCCAAGAATGACCATTAGCGTTTTGGAGTTGGGGGTATTGAGGATCTGAAGTCCACTATACCCCACCTGAAAAAGAGATGCTAGCAGCATATGAGGGGGTTCGAGCTGCTTCAGAGGTTGTTGGTACAAAATCATATCTCCTCTTGGCACTGCAATTGCCTTTGAACTGGATGTTCAAAGGAAACATTCTATCTCCACATCACGCAACTAGGGCTATATGGAGTAAGTGGGTAGCATTAATCATGCAACAAGCTTGACTTGGGAAACCCAACCACCCAGGAATCCTGGAAGAGATCATGGGCTGGCCAGAAGGCAGAGATTTTGGAGCATTGCCTGAGGAAGTGGCTCGTGCCCAAGAGGCACCACCATATAATGAGTTGTCAGAAGATGAAAGGTGTTACGTTTTGTTTACTGATGGATCCTGTCATGTGGTAGGAAGTCGTCGGAAGTGGAAAGCTGCTGTGTGGAGTCCCACACGACAGGTTGTTGAGGCCACTGAAGGAGAAAGCAAGTCAAGTCAATTTGCAGAAGTGAAAGCCATCCAACTAGCCCTAAAGATTGCTCAACAAGAAAAGTGGCCAGTACTCTATACTGACTCCTGGATGGTGGCTAATGCCCTGTGAGGTTGGCTGTAGCAGTGGAAAAAGACCAATTGGCAGAGCAGAGGAAAACCCATCTGGGCTGCTGCATGGTGACAGGACATTGCTGCCCAGGTAGAAAAGATGGCTCTAAAGGTATGTCATGTAGATGCTCACATGCCCAAAAGCCGTGCCACTGAAGAGCATCAAAACAATGAACAGGCAGACAAGGCTGCCAAATTGAGATAGCTTGGGTGGACTTGGACTGTGAGTGTAAGGGCAAGTTATTTGTAGCTCGATGGGCCCACGAAACATCTGGATATCTAGGGAGAGATGCAACATACAGATGGGCTCATGATTTGAGGGGTGGACCTGACCATGGAGGCCATCACACAAGTCACTCACAAATGTGAAACATGCTGCAATCAAGTGAGCCACATGAGTAAAATCTCCCTAGAACAGAGGGTGGTGGCTGGGTTTTTGATAGGGCGAGGCCTGGCAAATAGACTATATTGGACCACTGCCACGAACATGCCAAGGCAAGTGCTACATACTCACCATGGTAGAAGCAACTACTGGTTGGCTGGAAACATACCCTGTAAACCATGCCACTGCCTGAAACACCATCTTAGGCCTTGAAAGGAAAATTCTGTGGCAACATGGTACCCCAGAAAGAATTGAATCAGACAATGGGACTCATTTCCGAAATAACCTCATAAACTCCTGGGCGAAGAAACATGGTGCTGAGTGGGTGTATCACATCCCCTATTACCCACAAGCCTCTGGAAAGATTGAGAGATATAATGGACTGTTAAAGGCTACGTTGAGAGCTTTGGGCAATGGGACACGGAAACACTGGGATACAAATTTAGCAGAAGCCACTTGGCTGGTTAATACCAGAGGATCTGCTAACCACCCTGGTCCTGCCCAAGCAAGACCCCTACATACTGTGGGAGGAGATAAGGTCCCCATAGTGCATGTGGGGAAGTGGCTGGGGAAGGCAGTGTGGATTGCTCCTCCCATTGGAAAAGACAAACCCGTTTGTGGGATTGTCTTTGCTCAAGGGCCTGGGTGTACTTGGTAGGTAATGTGGAAGGGTGAGGAGACCCCATGTGTATCTCAAGGAGATTTATCCTTGGGGGAAAAATAATCTGTGATGCGAGCTGTATGTTGTACGAAGTGATGTAGCAGCTGGTGTTGGCACCCAACAATCAAGCATACTGCTTCTCCTGACCTGAACACCTGTCTTGACAGATGGGGCTCAAGTCATGGAACATGTGGATCTATCTATTAAAGGACAGGGGACAGTAGTTAATGAGAATTAACAGAGGATTGGGAAATGGTTCACGAGAGAGAGCTTAGCCCTCTCTGGAGATCTTCCCGGTCCCCATGTCTTTCCTCAACAATGAGGCCTGCTAGAATGCCACAGATTGATGTGTCGTGTGCAAATCCTCTCTCCCTACACCTTGGCGACCATCAGGAAGAACCTTTCTATCCCCAGTGAGAGAAGTTGGCTGTCATGGTAAGTTATTGGTGAGATGGCTTGGCCTTTGACTGGACTGGCTGAATCTTCCCATCTCTTCCTGCACTTTCTGTTGCTGGTGGTTTCTTCTAATGTAGCAGAAGCCAGTATGCAGGCTGCTTGAGACCTACAGTCTCAGATGTTGCAGATGATAGCATTCTCTAAGTAAAGGATTAAGGTCAGGCCTCTAATATGGATCAGATCAAACTGAGCAATATCTCCTGAAAATTTATTATGTTCCACATAATAGATCAACTGGTTTCCTTAGGCAGCTGGGAAGAGCTGCCCTCAGTCTGAGAGGGACAATGGTCAAAGGGGGAGAAAAGCTCATGCCAAATGAGGGAGAGACTGTAGCATGCAGAAAGAGTCAAGAAACAAGTGTCAAAGGAAGATCCCAGTTTTGTCTTGTTATTGGTGGTTGTTTCTTTTGCAAGAGCTGTAGTTGAGGTGGGATGTGTTTCACCCCCATTAATTCTCTTTGGTGATGTAAAACTCCCGTCTCACAGCTATGCAGTAACTAGTCCTACTACAGCCACACAATATGGATTGCAGGCACAAACTTGCTAGCTTTAACAAAGCCTTGGTGCTGTGTGGACTGCCAAAGAAATGGAGACGAAGACATGTCCATTGGAGGAAATCAAACAAAATAAAAACCAAACAAGAAACCAAAAACTTCCTGAGCTTTGCTGATGAGGGAACAGGATCTGAACCTGAACTCATCCTGTTCAATCAGCATAAACCTACAAAGCTCTGGGAGGGAGCACAACTGGGCTGTTAATGCATAAAAACAGGGCACTGGGGCCTATGTAGTTAACACACCTTGTAACACCTCAAGGTCTAGGCAATCTATTGAGTGCTCATTACATTATGTGAACAATAGATTCTCAGTCTAGAGACCATTTTACATATCTTTCTTCCAAGTTAATAGCTTTGTCCGTGCTAATAGTCAGGAAAAGCACATTGTGGGATTGTAGTGTAGCTTGATCGCTTAATTTTGCCAGCTGCCATTAGCTATAGCTGTGTGTCCTCATCCAGGGTTGGGGATCTGAGGGACATTCCTTGAAGCTGCCTTTGAGCATGGGAAGACCAACCAGCAGCAGCTGGTGCCTGTAGTGGCTCCCGACTAGAGCCATGTTTTGCCAGGTGTCACTGCTGGGAGCCTGTGGTGAACCTGCATCACCTGTGCTCGGGGCAGGTCAGCCAGCTAACTTGCAATGGCCTGCTTTCCCTTTTTGTTCTCAGGTGTTGTAGGATGGCAAACCCTGCATGCTGGGGCAGAGGCATCTGGCTTGCTCAGGAGACCAGCTTTTTAATCCTTGAAGCTGTTTGAAGAGATGTTCCCTGACGGAGGGAGCTGCCTGTAACTTGCAGCCTTTGTGTTGAGTCTTGTGCTTTAGTGATGTAAAGGAGGCATGGCGCTCCCCTGCCCTCCTGGCCTGGTCTGCAAGCCTGGCTGGGCTGGGCTGGTGACACCTGTGACGTGGTCTTGTAAGTTCAGTCTCACCCATGGCCATGTGTTGCTACCTGCTGCTGAATCCCCTCACTGCGGGGCTTCTGGCAACCCCTGGGCTCAGCTGCCATCTCCATTGGGATTGGCTGGGCCCCCAGCAGTCCAGAAGGGGGGAATTGCAGGCAAGCATCACCTGGGACCTGGATAGCATCTGGCAAAGTGCTCTCTGAAAAGAAATTGCAGCTGGCATCTGTCAGGCAGAGCATGCTGGCTCCTGGGTTGGCTGCCTGCAGTGACCTCCCCTGGGCTGGGGAGACCTGTGCCTGCAGGTGGGATGTGGGCAGGGGCTATGGAAGAAGCCTCAAAGCAGAACTGCAGCATCTGGAGATGTTCCCAGGAGCATCTGAGACGGAGAGGAAAGGAAAGGGTGTGTTGACTTTGGCACACAGGAACCACAAGGGAGAAGGGTTAGGCAACCATAAGATGACAGGACAAGGACTTTGGTGGGTCTGGTTTAAAACAGACCAGAACAGCTTTGGGTGACAGCAGAGTTTCTATTGGCTTTTATTGAATACTTCCCTCAGTTCAAGAGCAGCTCTACCTTCATGTCCACCAGTATCATAACTTGTCATTCAAATGCTTTCCTGAATGATTTAAAACTGACCCCTGGTCAAATTTACAGAAGCATGGTTTTGTTTTGGTTTTTTTTTTGTTTTCTTCCCTCTTGACAGTTTGGCAGTAATGGAACTGGTACTTCCAAATACAGACATGTTCTGCTATCCTAAAGCCCACTGCACTTCAGTACCCTCATGCACCATGTAGTGCAGGACTTCGAATCGAGACATTCCAGTCTTGTGGTCTGCCAGTGCGTATACATGTGTGTATGTGTGTTGTCTTTAAAGTTTGGACCATAGGAACTGAACTCCTGGTCTTTTCTGAAGTGGAGTCTAGGCACTTGTCCATGAGCTTAGGGCATTAAGCAAACTGTTTGAAGATGTGTGGAGATGCTACATCAGTAGTGCTATGCAAACCGTTGCTTCGTTAGCTGGCAGGGAAAAGGAACTATATTCCAGTGAGCAAGCAGTGCCGAGAGGGGTAGGAGAGCGTTTTCTTCAGAGAATATGTGCCAAGGGGCTATCGATACGGCAGCATAGGCTGCGTGTCTTGGCCCAGAGTTAGGAGCTGCTGTCACTAATACCTAAAGCTGAAATCAATACATGGGTACATGTACAAAGTATGCTTGGAAATGACCTCTGGACACTTTCTGGGTAGGTGAACAGGAAAAGTCCTTAAGCAAAATATTCCATATGGAAATAGGATTTCTGTAAGCAGAGGACCCGCCCTGAGTAGCCTGGTCTAGCTTCAGAAGTAGCCCTGCTTTGAGCAAGGGTTGAAGAAGATACCTCCAGCCTGAATGATTTCCTAGCACAACTTTTGTGCTCAGCTGTGGTGAGGTGGGTCCTGCGGCGGTCCAGTGGCATCTGGTGAGGCATCTGACATGAGGGTTTGGTAGGTGGTAGGGAACACTGAGGTCTGATGGTGATCCTTTAGCTCAGGAAGGGCAGAGGCTGTGCAAGGACCAGCATGGTGTGCTGCGCCTGCCTGGTCTTAAAACGCTAAATATGCAAATAAATATGAACTGGAGGCAGAGTCTAAGAGACAGAGGCCATGGTGCTGCAGGCCAGCGTGAGTCAGCAAGGGGCACTTTGCCCTCTGCGTCAGTCCCAGATGGCAGCTCGGGGGCCTGCAGGGAGTCAGCAGCAGGGGCCCTTCGCCCTCTGAATCAATGCCAGCTCCGTGCTGGAGGAGGGCACCCAGGAGGGCTGTTTGCCCGCCCTTTGCTTTACTGTGCCAACACTGACTTCAGTGCCTTAGCGTGGTAAAAGTGGCTGATGTGAGCACCTGGAGAGGGACAAAAAGCGTCCTTCCCCATCTGACCATGTTGACATCTATGTCATGAGGAGGTTCCTGCATGCATTGAACACCAAAGCTAGAGCCCTCGCTGCCTGGCATTAAAACCTCCCCAGCGTATTTCAGTGATGAGGTGCCAGGGAGCGTCCAGCTGAGGTGACTGTACTCCCTGGGTTTAATTCTGCTTTCTACAGTTGTTTCCCAGATGGCTTTTGCACAGGAGGGCTGCACTGCTCGGGAGGCTGGTGGTGTCCCTCACCCCACTGCCAGCCGTCGAGAGTGTAGCGTGCGATGGGTGCAGAGGCTCCGAATGGTGTGCAGGGCCTTCTTGCTGCAGGGCGTGGGGTAAGGGTCAGTGCAGACCATTCGCAGTCTTCCTGATAAATCTGCCCTTGAGGCTATGGCATCAGGGAGCCACGCAATGCCAGCGCTGAGGCAAGCGCTGCAGGGCCTGGAGGTTTGTGCTGCTGTTCCAGTGCAGGTGGGACAGCCTACCCAGGACACCTCTCCCCAAAACCTACCTCTGAGGCAGCTTTACTGCATGGGCATGGAGAAGATGTGAAGATGTGGAAGGAAATGTTTCAAATAAGAGTGGCCCTAAGGTTACAGCATGAGTCTGGCTGACCTTACCTCATAGCCCCCATGCTTGCTTGGTGACTGGTTGTTTTTGATTTTTATGCTTTTCTTTCCACTTCCCCTGCTCCCCCTTCAAAAGAGGGAGATGAGGTGCATTTACCTCCCTGGGCAGAGGTGTAGCCAAACTGAATTCGAGGCTGTTGAGATCTGTGCGGTCCTTGGACAGAATGGACAACGAAGCATGAAGGATTGCTTCTGTGGGGAGGTGTTACATGGCCACAGCTTGTTCATGCAAATCCCGTGTGCCCACTCTAAGAAGCTACAATTCACAGCCCTGCCTCTGAAACAGGCCACTGGGTCTGACCAGGACTTGGATCTGGCCCAGGTTTGGAGTCAGATGTGCAGCTGTGGCAAGCAACTGCAGTATCTGGATCTGATCTCCAACAATTTCTGGCCTTGAGACTTGTGGCTCAGACCCAGAAGAGGAAGGGGGTGAAGGTGTGATGTTCCCAGTAATGGAATAAAGCAAAGCTGTGAGATAATGCCTTTGGATGTGTCCTCTGTTGGCTTTGTTTGGGTAACTTGTTAATTCTCTTCTGAAGAAACAATCCTGGGTTAATAATATATATAAAGAGGCAGGTTTGGGCTTCTTGTCTGGTTGAAGGTTCCCTGGATACTGTTCTTCCTTCTCTTATACCTGAGAGATTTCAGGAGCCTGTCATCTCAGGTGAGCACATGACTTTCCCTTTCGGAAGCTGAGTTTGAGCTCCCTCAGCTCAGATAGCTTTGGGACATGGTGCATTCTGCTTGAAACCCTCAGCTCTCCCTAAAACTTGGCAAAGATGTGGGAGATGGGGGAGGAATGCACAAATCCTTTTGGGGAGCAACATCTCTTTCTCATCTCACCTACTTTTCTTTTCTTCCACCATGTTCTGCATGGTACTGTAACCATAGCATTTTGGGGAGCTGCTGGGCTCTGTCAAAATGCTAGAGTCCACTACTCTAGGTGGTTTTGTTCAGGACACAAAGTGTTGCTGCTGACTCAGGCCTTGCTGTGGTATGTGCTGCCACCTGCCAGAAATTAGTGTGGCTTTGCAGTGCTACCTCCTGTTTTATCCCTCCCACTCTGCTCTCACTTCCCTTTCTCACTCTCCCTTCAGTTCTTCTCTGTTTCCCCTTCACGCCTGGGTGCTCAAATATCCTTTTGTCTGAGCTTTCACAGCTCTGTATAACCCATTTCTTCCCAGGTCTCCTAGTGTATCTGCATGGCACCCTGTTTCACCTTCTGTCATCAGCAGGGGTGACTGCCTTGCAGAAGAGGTCTCTTCACCCTGCAGCTCTGGCCAGTGTTGTCAACCATGCGTGAGAAGGGCATGGGGTGCTTTTCTCTCAGGTCCCAGCAGGCTGCAGTGCTCTCACACTGTTCCCTGGAGCTGGGGCAACTCAGCTCCTGCAGCAAGAACTGCACTATCCCTTCCCTAGCCAGTTCCCTGCAGCAGGGTACACAGTACACAGTGGGATCGCTTATTGCCAGATCCCCTCTAACCACCCAAATACTTCAAGAGCTCTCAAAGAGCTCCTGCTGCCTGAATCCCTTTGATTAGATATCTGCCATCCCTTACTAACCTCTCAGTGCCAGGCCTTGGGCCCCCATTCCCTGTGCTTCAGTGCCTTTTTATGCTCTTCCCTTGGCTGTGAGGGCTCTGCTCTCCCTTTATTTCCTCCATGGCCAATTCTGCATTAATCCCTAGGAGAGGAGCAAGGTGATGTGGAGAGGGAAGACCAAGAGGGTGGTGTGCATTCACTTCTGATGCTCTCTTCATCCAGGTGCAGGGACAAAAAAAGCCAGGATTGGGTTTAGACAGCCTTTATCTGAGTGACCTGGAAGACTGTGCTAGCTAGAGGTGCCATAAAAGCAGGTGATGGCAGGACTGTGCTATCAGCAGGCAGCTAGGGTCCTACTGCAAATGTGGTAGAGATCTGCAGGTGCTTTCTGTCCACCAAGGGAACTGACCATTAATTCCTGCTCACCTTTCCTGTCTGCTTACTGTGAAAAGGTCTGCCTTCTTATGCCATGGCTGCCCACTTTCCTTAGAAGTCTTTGCAGAAGAACTTCACAGATAGCTGGATTATTCTCATGCTTATGATTATTGACGCCTTCTAAGAGCTACAAGAGGGAAGATTTCCTTACAAGAGTTATATTGACTCTTCCCAAAGTATGTCATACTTATACATGTCCGTTAATTTTATTCTTTTGTTAAAATTTCTATTAACTGGGCCACTACAGATGCCAAACCTTGAGCTTCCTAAATCCTCCTAGACTTCTCCCCTCTTTGCTATATACCTTGCCACCCTGCAATTCAGTGATTAAAAGGAGGTTTAAGGCAAGAGGCCACTCACTGCTATTAGCAACTGTTTCACCTCCGAGTTGCTTGGGAAGCCCTGAGACCCTGTGGTGGGTTGACCTTGGCAGGATGCCAGGTGCCCACCAAAGCCACTCTATCACTCCCCTCTTCAACCAGACAGGGGAGGAAAAAAAATACATTGAAAGGCTCGTGGGTTGAGATAAGGACAGGGAGAGATCATTCGCCAGTTACCATCATGGGCAAAACAGACTCAACTTGGTGAAATTAATTTATTACCAGTCAAAATCAGAGTAGGAGATGATAAAAACTGCTGAATCTTAAAACACCTTCCCCTCACCCCTCTTCCCAGGCTCCACTTTGCTCCTGATTTTCTCTCCTTAATCCCTGCAGCGGCACAAGGGGATGGGGAATGGGGGCTGGGGTCAATTCATCACACTCTGTCTCTGCTGCTCCTTTCTCCTCAGGGGAGGACTCCTCACACTCTGCCCCTGCTCCAGCCTGGGGTCCCTCTTGCAGGAGACAGTCCTCCATGAACTGCTCTAGTGTGGGTCCTTCCCACAGGCTGCAGTTCGTCATGAACTGCTCCAGCATGGGTCCATAATTTCCACAGGGTGCAGTCCCTCAGGAACAGACCATTCCAGTGTGGGTCCCCTGTAGGGTCACAAGTTCTACCAGCAAACCTGCTTCAGTGTGGGCTCCTCTCCCCACGGGTGTGCAAGTCTTGCCAGGAACTTGATCTGGCGCAGGCTTCCCACAGGGTCACAGCCTCCTTACTTTGGGCATCCACCCGCTCTAGCTTGGGGTCCTCCATGGGCTGCAGGTGGAGATCTGCTCCACCACTGACCTTCACAGGCTGCAGGGGGACAGCCTGCCTCACCATGGTCTTCATGGGTTGGACTAGATGATCTCCTGAGGTCCCTTCCAACCCTTGCCATTCTGTGATTTTTGTGATTCACCAGGGGCATCTCTGCTCTGGTGCCTGGAACACCTCCTCCCACTCCTTCACTGACCTTGGTGTCTGCAGGGCTGTTTTCTCTCGCATCCTCTCACTTCTCTTTTCTCTCTGGCTACTGAGTCACAGCCAGGTTTTTTTCCTTCTTAAATACCTTAACACAGAGGTGCTACCACTGTTGCTGATTGACTTGGCCTTGGCCAGCATCAGACACAAGGAAAACTTCTAGCAGCTTCTCACAGAAGCCCCCCTGCTACCAAAACCTTGCCACACAAACCCTGTACAGACCCTCTTGACCAGACCTGCTAATTCCATGCCTTTTGCACAGTCACTTTTATTTTGGATAGGTCCTTTGGTTTAGTCTCCCACAAAACAGGATCCTTTGTGGGAATTTCTCCATTTTCTTCCACTCACAAATAATTAATTTAGTTTTGTTTCAATGTCCTTGTTTTCTCTGACTGCTTCTTTTATACCCTGCTCTTCAGTTGTCCTCAAAGCTTGTGAAAAGGTTTCTGCTTTCAGTATCTATAGGAAAGGACTTATTACTACTTCTGGTGGCTTCTGGTAGTTGTTTTTCAGACTGGTTTTTTTTATCTTTGCTTTGTTGTGGTTTTACATTTCATTGAGATCACGATCAATTCAATTTTCCTCATCTGAATGCAAGGTCAGCTTGTTGAAGAGTGCATACTGATAATCCCTTTGGCGCAACATTTTAGCCACATCAGTTTCCTTTTGCCAAGTCTTCTAAAGAGGTGGTAGGTATTGGCTTTGGGCTGCCAGTGTGATGCCCCTGCATAACCTCCATGCCACCTGTGATGACTGAATTCCCTCAGGTGCCCCTCTCTGTTCTGACTGGCTTGTGACAAGTGTCTCACTTCCCTGCAGCTTCTACCACAGCTATGCTCAGCTTCAAAAGGGGCTGTGTTTTGGAATGTGGGAGGGGGTCACAATTTTAGGATTCAAGGCTTTCTCTTTGCTTATGAATTCAATTTTTACTCAACTGGTTCAGCTTGATTTTGAAAGAAGTAAGGCACATGCAATGGTACTGTCTCCTCTGCTGTTACATGGACCTGCTTGCTAAATTGGGTGAAACCGGCTGTGAGATGAAGGGCTTACCTTACTCAAACTTCATTGATAGGTAGGGGAGAAAGAGGGTTAGTGCCTTGACTGCCTTCTGTTTGGGTCAGCTGGCCAAATGGTGCCTGCACAGCTTGCAGAGCCATCACCTAAAGGCAGCAGCTGGAGCACGAGTAGGGAGGGAAAGCAGGACTGTTGTGGTGAGCAAACACACGAGCCCTAGGAAGGAGCTGGGGCTTGCGAGGTGCATGGGAGTTAGGAGCGTGGGCAGTACTGTTGGGAGTACTGATTGGGGTTGAGATAAAAGATGGTCTGGGGGGTGGAACACAGGTATTGTGGGGGGATGAGTATGTACTGTGTGGGTGGGCAGAACACAGGTGGAGAGGGAAGGGAGGAACTGAGGAAGAGCAGCGGGAAAGCAATGAAACAACGTGTGAGTTTTGGGGTTGTTTTTAAGCAAGGCTTTATTTTTTTCTATTTTCAGTCCTGCAGCTAACTGCTGGGCTTGATTCTCCCTCTCTCCCACCCATTTACATGCCATGGGTGCATATGAAATTCAAAGCACAGACTTTATCCTCAGGAATATCCCCTTGCTGTTGTTGCACAAGAGCCCAGCACTGCCTCCTATGGAAGTATGGCTGAGGGTTGAATTTTGACAGCAAGCAACAGCTCTGGTGGCTGAGAAGGAAGAATTGAGCTGTCTCCTGATGTCTGAGTGCAGTCTAGTGTATTCTAATAAAATCAGCAGCTAGATTCTGAATTTGTATTTGAAATGCCTCAGCTGTGTTTGGAGATCTGTTTCAATGGCAAAAAGCTCATGAAGCTACACTGTGACTTCCTTCTCTGTTTGCTGATTGTATTTCCCATTTCTTCACGGTGGAAAGTTTGAAACCCTGCCAGGAAGTAAGCCTTTTCCCCATGGGACTGTGAGTCTGTTGTGGCTTGGTTGGCCGTGGGCAAGGGCGGGGGGGGCATGCAGAGGATTACTCTGACTGAAATCTCGGCATGAAATTTGAGGGCATAACTAGGTTTCAGCAAGCAATTAGGGAGACTTAATTCCAGTGAGAGGGCCAAGCCTGAAGACAAAAAAAGTGCTGGAAGGATGTTGGAAAGAAAGGCAGGCAGCATGCATCTTCTCAAGGGACTAGGCTTCTGTCCTGCAGCTGCTCTTCTTCTTGTACTACAGTACTCTTTGCACACTATACAAAAAGGAGAAGTGAAGTCAGCTCAGTGCACACGAGACATGAGGAGGCTCCTTGGTAAAGAAATCCAGCTACAAATGCCCCATTCTGTTTAGGGGCATATCTATAATCTGTGTTCAGATGTCCACCACATCACTCCCCTGCCCTTTACCTTCTACCATGCTGTTCTCCTCTGTTGTCTGATGCGTGTTCTTCCTTGCATGGTCCTATCTCACTTCCAACTCTGCCCTGTGTATCCTCTGTGCTAACTCCCTGGATGTCCTGCTAGCGTGTCATTCTGGTCTGCCTTGAGGAAATTCCAGCTAGCCAAACTAACCAAGCAAATCTTCTTTCTGGTTGTTTTGGAGACCTTATTGTGGCTTTTCAATACTTAGAGGGGGCTTATAAGAAAGTCGGAGAGAGACTATTTACAAGCACCTGTAGTGACAGGACAAGGGGCAATGGTTTTAAACTGAAAGAAGCTAGATCTAGATTAGATATAAGGAAGAAATCCTTTACAATGATGGTGGTGAGACACTGGAACAGGTTGCCCAGAGAAGTTGTGGATGCCCCATCCCTGGAAGTGTTTAAGGCCAGATTGGACAGGGCTTTGAGCAACCTGGTCTGGTGAAAGATGTTCCTGCCCATGGCAGGGTGGTTGGACTGGATGATCCTTAAAGGTCCCTTCCAGCCCAAATAATCCTGTGATTACTGAGTCCTATCTGCTGAGTGAACCTTTCTCAATCTCTTTCTCAAGGGTATGCTGACTCATTGGCATTTCTTCTCAGAAATCCTTCTGATTCAGCAAGTATCTTACCAGTAATTTCCCTTAATTGTCTCCTTTCAACATCTGCCCCAGCCTGAAATCAGACTAAACAGTAGTCTGACATTTTCCCTGAGGTAATATTTGAGGCCATTACCAGAAAGCAGAAAAGGGACATAAAAGACAGTATTGGAGTAAAAAATATAAACCAGCCCTTTTCAGCCTCAGAAATGGAGCCTGACTCCCTGAAGCAAGCACTGCTCTGAACTTCTACAGGCTGTAAATCAGGTCGTGGTAGAGAGGTCCCTGTGTGTGCTCTTCCCAATAATCTCTCAAACAATCAACTTCTTTTTTATGTTTATTCCACTTTGCTTGTTCTTCTCCTCGACCCTAGCATCATCCTTCTCTGTTTCTCCTTGGATGTATCAAACTTCTGATTATTTTGATTCCTCTGCCTAAGGCTGCAACTGCCCGGTGTCACTTCTACAGGAACAATTCCTCATTTTAGATTTTGCCAACTGGGGCTGACTTCCCAGGATGAGATATAGGATGTGATATTTGATGTAGCAAGTGCAGCTTAACCACAAGAGACATGTGAGGGCAGAAAGCATTTTGTATTGGGCTGTGGTGCAGGTTAAACTGGGCTAAGACCCATGATAGCTGCACACCTAGGAGCAATGACAGAATTACCAACAGATAAAGAAAGGCATGAAGATAAGGGAAGAAGAGAGAGTAAAAAAAGAAGGATGAAAAAAGAAAAAAAAAAGATTGTAAGAAGGAAACCTATTAGCTGAGAATCTGATATGGGGAAGGAGGAGCGCAACTTCCTTTTCAGTTGTTAGGTTCTCATTTTTTTCTCTCTCAGAAGTTTCCACAGTGCTGGGGCTGATTTCCTGGGCTAAGAAACTGAAGAGCATTTCTGAGCTCCCAGGAATTCTCAGGTTGCTGCCAGTGCTTCCAGTGTTCAGCACAGCCTTCTCTGACAGACTGAGGGTGAATGAGCAGACAGGAAAGGTTCAGTAACCTACTGGTGTTTCTCTCTAGAACCAGGAACCAAAAAGTCCCACCTTTTACATAGCAAAACAGGGATCAGTGTTCACACTGTGGTTAAATGGCATCAGAAATCACCTACGCTGAGGTGAAGTTCAAGAATGCATCACTGCCTGCAGTGGCTGAAGGTAAGGAATTGGTGGGTTATTCAGGGGAAGGAAACCTAGAGGGAGGAGGGCTGAAGAACAGGGAATGGACACTTTTTTTTCTGTGGCTCTGGTTCCTAGCTGTTCTTGAAAAATTTGTAAGAAAAAGGAGTTGTCTGCCACTACATGAGCAGGAGACTGAAGGAGTTTTGAAGTAAAAGGGTCAAGGAAAGTCTACAAGAGGAGAGGTGGGAATCTTTAGGTGGTTGGAGCAGCAACATGAACAAAGATGACTACTGGGAGCACGAACAGTAGGTTTCAAGTGAGCATTTAATAAGGAACGTATTTGGGCTCCCTTAGTCCCCTGGTTGCAACACCAATAGTGCTGAATCATAGAGGATCCAGGATGAATGCTTAGCCCTGGTACGATAAGTAGCTGCCTCTTTATATGTTATCTAGTCTTGGATGAGAGAGTAGTTTTTTGGCAAATACTGAGTACCAACTTACAAACAATCTGATCTGTCACAAAGGTGGAGGAGGTCCTGGAGCAGGAAATGGCAGCAAATAAGCCCAAGCCCTGGCTGCTACTGCTCTTGCCTCTGACAGAGTGAGGCTACAGATTCCTGCTTATGAAGAGAGCAGGAGTAGAGAACCAACATGCCTCCTTACAGTAGAGCAATCAGTTGCCCTCTGCATCTTCGTGAGAGGTGACACTGGCTGCAGAAATTTATAACCCTATTGTATTTTGTTGATTGAGAAATGGTCCCTGGGAGAAGAGAGACCCAAAAGTTAAAAGGAAGAATGGGTTTGAACAAAACACCCTAAAATACACAGAGGAAGAATTATCTAAGACCTGGAGGAAAATCCATTTCTGTGATTGATGTCTACCACTCCTGATAAATAATTAACACACCAAACAAATAATTTTTTATTGCTATTAAAAATCATGGTTGTAAAATGGTGCCTTTACTTAGCTTTGTGCAAATTTAAGACATGTTTTGATTGGTATGTATTCTGTAGTTATTGTGCCACAAATAGGAACACATAGAGATGTTCTATGTATGGCTCATTGCTTTCCACCCTTAGATGCAGGACCCTACACAACAGCAAGTTCCAGAGGGGTGAAAGTATGTGTGTGTAAATGAATGAATAAATAATGCTGCTAAGGTTGTTAACTTGCCTGCTTACCACTTTACCTCTGTTTTACAATCCCAAACAGAGCAGGCATCAGCTCCAGGTTATTCCTTGCTTGCTCTGAGGCATGAGTCATGGAAATAAAGAATGTACATACTCCTGACTGACTTGAAAGCTCACTGTTTTTGATGCATCAAGCTTAGCTGGTTCTGGTTACAGCTAGTATTTCCATCATGGTGAGGTGGAGGTGGTCTAAGTTCCCCACTGTGTTCCCAATGACCTATTCCAAAGACACCTGATCCAGCCATGTTTGCTTGAGCTGCTGCTGCCAGGCTCATGCTATAGGTTTGGGTGTGTGCTCAGAGTCTGTCTTTGAGTGTGTTGGTCCTAGTGATCACACACTTAGCTTATACTTCAAATTCAGAGAAGTGTCTAGTAGTACCATTGCACACAGTGCTAATGTCTCTCACAGCCTCATGATATGCTCATAGGATGAGAGTTATGACTGAAAATTATTGAAAGATTGAGGGAGTCTTGCTGCTCTGTTGTCTTTCTGAGTGGTTACCCTGGCCATGCAGACTCCATGTTGATAATGGCCAAGCTCACCTGGGTTTTCCCGTTCTGTAGTCTCTTCTAGTCAGGCGCTAGAGATAACAAAATTGGCAGTCACTGGAAGATAGAGAGAAGAAGGAAGCATATAATCTGTGTCAGGAAGTAGCAGAGACTACTGGGATGGGTTTCATACCACAGTGCAATGAGGGTTCCCGCATTTCCAACCAGGATTTCCCAGGTAGAAGCATAGGTATCTGTTCTGCACAGCACTTGTTGCATGTGCCTAGGAGATGTGCATTTACTTGCTGAATAACCAGCATATGCCCATCAGGTCTGTTGTGTTGTGATCGTGCTGGACATGCTGCAAGCATGCAGACTTACTGTAGGAAGCATTTTGCAAGATTAACCCACTGAGTATGCACAAAATCTACTGCACTTCAGTTGCGTTGGTGAGGTGCACACATACTGGTAGTGCTCTCTGTGCCACCTGGGTGTGAGTGTGGGATGCACGGATCTCGCTGGGCACAGGTTGAACAGTCAATCTGTGGACATGCAGGACCTCAAAAATCATTTGGACTGGTCAGATCTGTTGTCTGAAATAAGTGGCTGGACTCCAGGCCATGATCCACATCCTTGTTTTCACTACAGACAAAAGCTCTGGCTAGAAAAACATGATTTGGACTGGAAATCTGGATCTTGTCTGTCTATGATTGTTTTCTCTTCTGATAATGAAAGATGATGCATTTTGCCCTGCTGTAATAGCCTCCCCCAAATTTTTGGGAAATAGTTAGAGGGCTTGCCCAGGCAGCAGTGTTCTGGAAGTCTTGCTCACTAGGCATGGCCGGCAGGCAGGAATTTCATGCTGAATAGTGAATGAGGTCTCTCTAAAGCTTATCATTAACATCATTCTCTCTCAAAACTTCTTTACTCCTGTCCTGTAGTGAGTGCTGCTCTCTCTGTACTCTCCTGTTTGCCCTGGCTTGTGTACCTGCCGCCACCTAGAACACTCTCCTAACAAGTGTTTGCTTCTCCTTCATGTGACCCATTCTCCTGCCTGCTCCCAAACCTCCTCAGTACTGGCAGTATCCCTCTAGACAAAAATCAGGCCCTGGCAAGTCTAAATCTGAGTGGGATACTTTACTCAGGCTGCTGGACACAGCCCTCTCTTCTCCCCAGGCATCCAGCCTAGCGCAGCCTAGTTTTACTACAGAAAATCTCTGAACCCTGGCTTGGAAAGCAGAGATGGAAGGGAAATTTTTTTTCTCTCTTCCAGTGATTCTGGGCCATCATCGCTTTGTGCATTTTTTGTCTCTTGCCCTCATTCAGCTTACACCAAGCTTCTTCTACAAAGAAAGTCCAAAAAGCTAAGAAGGAATTGAAGCAGTCATAAAAATTTTTCTGGGGAGAAGTCAATATGACATTTTCATGTGAATGTCACAAGTATCAGATAGAGCAATGTTGTATTTGGCAGCTCTGGGCTCAATCTAGAAAGACATTGTTTCACGTGAAGGCCTCACCCCCAAACACCAGCAATTAACATTGCTAGCTCACCAACGGGGCTGGGACTGTGAACAGTGTCGCTGAACCTGACCTTCTCCAGAAACCACAGAGGTCGCCTGCACTGTACCAATCTTCCCCTCTCCCAAACTGCGTAACTTCATCAGAAATGAAACTGCATTTTTTTTGAGCAGCTGTTCCTTGAGTTGTACATCCTTGGTATGTGGGCTGACAGAAGCATAGTTGACTGTTGCGGTGTGTTTGGTGTGTTCCTTCACTTTTAGTACCTCCTGAGACAAAGAAGCATGAGCACCATCCCCAGAAATGCCCCCCTTGGCTCCCGTGGTTGATCTCACTGCTGCTCCTCTTGGTGTGCATTGCCCTCATTATTGTTCTGCTTGGTGAGTATCTGCAGGCTGGTTATGGGAGAGAGGTCTGGGGGAAGTGCTGAGAGAAAAGCAGAGAAATCAGAGCCCAGGAGGGAGCTTTTACTCAGGAACTGTTTTGTCATGAGAAAGGATGCAAGCTCCCACATTTGGGCTCGGAAAACCTGAATGTTGAATCTTTGAAAGGTATATTCAGGAGCAAAATCTTTCCTGATTACTTAAACTTTGGGGATTTAAGGGTACAGTTGCAACATGACACGAAACAGATATTTTGGCCAACTGGTATACGGGAGCGAGGATTACCACAGCATTATGCCAGACAGTTCTGTTGTACGCATCCTCTTTCTTAGAATGACAGAAAGAGTTAGGTGGGAAGGGACTTCTGGAGGTCTCTAATCTAACGCCCCACTTGAAGCATGGCCATCTTCAAAGTTTCAGGTTGCTTGGACTTTCTGTAAAGTCTCAGGCTTTTCTGCCCTGACTTTGTTCATGCTTGCATACATCCCCCAAATCTTCTACTGTTTACCTTGAAGCCTTTTCAGTGTTCCCAGATTGTACATCCTCTATCTTGCATGGCATCTTTGGAACCGTGGAACAATTCTCTACCTGCATACCACACAAAAAGAGCTTGATTACATTCAGCAGATGGGAAAAGGCCTGGAGATGGAAGCACAAGGTCCTGCACTTGAGCTCTCTGAGGTGCTTTGACACAGTCCATGTCCTAATGGAAAAAAAAACAGCTTTTCACAGCTAGTCCTGGCATCTCCAGGATTAATTGTGCAGTGCAAACTCTCTCACCTTTTTAGTGTTAACTGCATTCTGCTCGAATAATTCATTAAAAGTGATGCTTTCACATGCAGTTTGTGGAGAATGTGATCAGTTTCATTCTTATTTTCTGCTGAGGATCATTCATGGCATGTTTGCACAAAGTGTCAGTAAAGATGATGGATTCTGGAAGAAGGCATGTTGTCACGCTAAATTGCTGCCCTTCCTTTTGCTGTCATGAGTTCCCAAGTCCCAGAAGTTTGTATTGCTTTGTTCCCAAATGCATAACTTTTCACAATACTCTGTTAAATGGTTGGGGAGATTTAGGGTAGTCTGTTAGAGTCAAATACAATCATAGAATCATAGAATTGTTCAGGTTGGATAAGACCTTTAAGATCAAGTCCAACCATTAACCATTGCCCAGTCTTCCACTAAACCATGTGCCTAAGCACCACATCTAGATGTCTTTTAAATACCTCCAGGGATGGACACTCAACCACTTCCCTGGGCAGCCCATTCCAATGCTGGACAATCTTTGCACTGCAAAAATTTTTCCTAATATGCAATCTAAACCTCCCCTCACACAACTTGAGGCTATTTCCTCTTGTCCTATAGCTTGTTACTTGGGAGAAGAGACTGACCCCCACCTCACTACACCCTCCTTTCAGGCAGTTGTAGAGAGTGACAAGGTTTCCCCTCAGCTTCCTCTTCTCCAGGCTGAACACCAGTTCCCTCAGCTGCTCCTCATAAGACTTGTGCTCCAGACCCCTCGACAGCTTCGTTGCCCTTCTCTGGACATGCTCCAGCACCTCAATGTCCTTCCTGTAGTGAGGGGGCCCAAAAGTGAACACAGTATTTGAGGTACAGCCTCACCAATGCTGTATAGAGGGGAAGAATGATGTCCCTGGTCCTGCTGGTCACAGTATTTCTGATACAAGCCAGGATGCTGTTGGCCTTCTTGGCCACCTGGGCACACTGCTGGCTCATATTCAGCTGGCTGTCAGTCAGCACCCCCAGATCCCTCTCTGCCAAGCAGCTTTCCAGCCACTCTTCCCCAAGCCTGTAGCATTGCGTGGGGTTGTTGTGATGCAAGCGCAGGACCTGGCACTTGGCCTTGCTGAACCTCATACAATTGGCCACAGCCCATTGATCCAGCCTGTCCAGTTCCCTCCGTAGAGCCTTGCTACCCTCAAGCAGATCAACACTTGCACCCAGCTTAGTGTCATCTGCAAAGTTGCTGCAGGTGCACTCAATCCCTTCGTCCAGGTCATTGATAAAGATGTGAAACATAACTGGCCCCAACTCTGGGCCCTGGGGGACACCGCTTGTGACTGGCCTCCAACTGGATTTAACTCCATGCACCACCACCCTTTGGGCCTTGCCATCCAGCCAGTATTTTACCCAGCAAAGCATATGCCCATTCAAGCCATGAGAAGCCAGTTTTTTACCCAGCCAGTTTCTCCAGGAGAATGCTGTGGGAGACAGTGTCAAAGACTTTACTAGAGTCCGGGTACACCACATCCACAGCATTTCCCTGGTCCACTAAGCGAGTCACCTTGTCACAGAAGATCAGGTTAGTCAGGCAGGACCTGCCTTCCATAAACCCATGCTGACTGGGCCTTGTCACCTGGTTGTCCTGTACGTGACACATGATGGCAGTCAACATGATCTGCTCTATGACCTTCCCTGGCACCGAGATCAGATTGATGGGCCTGTAGTTCCCTGGATCCTCCTTCCATCCCTTCTTGCAGATGGGCATCACATTTGCTAATCCTTAGTTAACCGAGACCTCCCCAGTCATGCAGGACTGCTGATAGATGATGGAAAGGGGCTTGGTGAGCACTTCCACAGCTCCCTCAGTACCCTTGGGTAGATACCATCTGGCCACACAGACCTGCATGTGTCTAAATGGTGTATCAAGTGGCTAACCACTCCCCCTGGGATTGTGGGGGCTTCATTCTGCTCTCAGTCCCTGTCTTATAGTTCAGGGGGCTGGGTATCCCAATAACAACTGGTCTTACTATTAAAGATTCAATAATGCATTTAAATTAAAACACAAGAACAAATTGCACTTAGCAGAGGGTAGCAATTGCAACGCACAGTTGAATCACAGCACAAATGTGATTCTCATTACCAGTCTCTGCCATATGCTCAACATCAAGACCCAGAAGGAACATGTGAGTTAAAGCCAGCTCAGGCCCATGGCTTTCTTCAGACATGCTTTTGTTAGTCGTGCAGTTTTTTACCACTGGTTTAGGCTGAGCCACGCATACGTGTGCCCCATGCTGCTCTGGCTAACTTAGCAAGACACTGCCCTTGTTTTGAATTTTTTCGAGGGATGAGCAGCTACACAGCTGTTCAATCCACTCACCTGATACAACTGCTTGGTTCACTCACTCACCTGAACTAGAACAAAGGCCTCTGTCTGGTCCCCTTTGTGTTGAGATAAGGTCACCTTTCTTTGCAACAGGTGTGGTCAGCCGCGCATCGCCCTTGCCCATCTCCTCTGAGCCCTCTTCCATTCCACAGGAATTCACTCGTCCCTCTCAGAGGCCACTGTGATTACTCAGCCCTCCCCACTAGTGACACTATTTCTAAGGGAAACGGTTGATAAAAATAGACATCTGCATTACCTAGCACACCCTGATCGGCTTCCAATCAATGTCCTGGAGTGCCTGAGTTTGTGATAAGTCCTTCGGGTTGTGGATGTGGCCTGCTGACACCTGTCACCAACACTGCCTTGCTCCCCATGAACTGGATGGTAAGTCCTAGGAGTTTACCTTCTGCCCTGGTTTCAGCAGCTCCAGCCGTATGGGGTTACCTCCCCTGGACTGTCTTTGCTGCTGATGGAATGGGCCCACCTCCTGCCTTACCCATCCAAACTCGTGTTGATGTCTACCTTAGGAGGAGATCAAGCGTGCCACTAAAGCGCTCCTTTTAACTCCCTGGTTGTCAAAGAGACAAAGAGAGGCAGCTTGGCTGTAGGTATCTGCCTGGTAAACGCCTGTGGTTGGGTGGAATCAATCCCACCCTGCCTGGCGTGTCCTCAGTGTGATGTCCCCTTGGTCCTTCATGATGTCTCCGTGGTCCTTCTGCTCCCCGACATGGAAGATTGCCTCTTTCTGCTGGGGGAGGCAGCCATGCCACTTGTTTGGGCTGGTTTTCTCAGAGCCTTGGGACAGGGATCCACTAACCCCACACCTTCAGCTCTGCAGCGCCCGTGGGGACCTGATGCCAGCTCTGCCCAGAGTGGTGACGAGCCCACAGCCCTGCAGCAGCAATTCCTGGAGTGGCAGTGCATCTCGGTGGTGGCGCAAGGCAAAGGTCAGTAGTGGTGGCAGGGGTGCAGGAGGTCTTTGGGACGGGGACAATGAATGCTGGGGTGCTGGGGCCTGCTCCGACAGCAAGCAGCAGCGGGAGCAGACTCTGTCTGGAGAGGCAGACTCCAGAGGAGAGAGGTGGGGAGAAAAAGGATGTCCTGCTCACAGCTTAGGGGGAGGAGAGGGCCATGTTAAGGATGCCCTGGAGGGCAGGGTGGCTGTGCCCACTGGCAAACAAAAGGGAGAGCCTACAGCCAGGCGGGGAAGGTGAACAACGGAGCAATAATAAAAGTGCAGCTCTAGGCAGGGAAAGAAGAAACATTCCCTGTTCCCTGGGGCTAAAGGCATACAAGGAGAAGTCAAACCAGGTCACCAAAATAACTTTGTCAAGACCGGAGATCCTGTTACAAGGATTGCCATGGATTTGCCTACACAAAGCTCACTGGTCATACCCCAAGGCAACTGGAAGAAATACCTGTACTAGCCTCATTTTTTTGAGCCCTTGCTGTCAGGGAAAGTGATCTCAGGAGGACATTGTCCCTGGAGAACTGGGATCCTTGCTGTCACCATCGCTCTTGCTATGAGCATTCACCTCTGTGGTCTCTCCCCGCACAGGGAGAGGCTGGATGTGCTGCCCAAAGGGCTGGAAACGCTTTGGAAAAAGCTGCTATTACATATCGGATGATATGATGGGCAGGAATGAGAGTGCGAAGAACTGCACTGGGATGGGCTCCCACCTGGTGGTGATCAACACCGAAGCAGAGCAGGTACGTGCAGGGCTGAGAGAGGGGCACGGCAGCTAGAGCCACAGTGCCAGGCCCTGGAGGGGACTCAGAGCCCCCCTCAGAGCTCCCTTCTGCCACCAGCCCCTGTCCCCCCCACCCCAGGGACTCCGGCCGCCTCCCTCTGCTCAGTACTGCACCTCATGGACTTTGCACTCTCCCTGATTTCCAGGCAGGGCCCCCGCCCGCCTCCCTCTGCTCAGTACTGCACCTCATGGACTTTGCACTCTCCCTGATTTCCAGGTTTTCCTCACTAGCCAGCTAGAGGTTTCAAGAGGGAAGAATTACTACATCGGTCTGCGATCACAGGTGGTGGGCCAGTGGCAGTGGGTGGACCAGACTCCATATAATGAGTCGGCAGCGTGAGTATTCCTGGAAGGAGAGTGTTTAGCGCGGCTCCTGGCAGTGCAAGGGAGTGGGAGAGATGGGAGTGTGTCTGCTGGTGCTTGAGAGGGAGGTGAGAGAAATCCCTGTGAGGGGACAATGATGGAGCAGGAGAGGGCTGTAGGCCGCCAGGATCCCACAGCCCCATCCATGCTGGTTAGTGGTTGTTAGTTAACTACCTGTGACGTGGCCATCGATGCTGCAGGCACAGAAGCAGCTGCATCTCGCCAGCAGAGAAGCACCCTTCAGAGATGACCAGCCTTGCCTTATGCCCATGCTGCCCCCACCATGGCCATGTGCACATGTCTGCCCAGGCCAGTGCTGTGCCAGCGCTGTGATGCTATGGAATCACGTGATGGAGCACAGGGAGAGGTGACCAGGGCTGTCCTCGCTGTGCCTTCTTCTGGAGGACAAACTGGCCCTGGAGGCAGCCACATGCCTCTGCTGGGTGTGAAGTGCATGGGGTGAGTGGTGGTGAGCAGCTCCCCCCCACCAGGACTGAGCGGGTCCCTGTTGTGTTGGCTGTAGGAAGAAGGCAGTTTCCCATGCGAGACTGGTGCCAGTGGGATAGCAGAGCGGGAGGAAGGGTACTGCTTCTGGCTGTGAATCAACATCTGGAATTTCTCTCTCTCCCCTCCAAGCCTTGCTCTGTGGGGTACGCTGGGCAGTAACAGTCTGTCTCTATCTCAGGTTCTGGCGGGAAGGGGAACCAAGTAATGTGTCTGTTGAGATGTGCGTTGTAATCCATACGACTCCAAGCATACACAACTGGAATGATTTCCGATGCGAGAGCTCTTATCGAATTTGTGAAGCTGCAGCAGTAACTGTGTGATGGAGCAAACGTCATCCTGAGTAACACTGAGGCATGAGTAGTGAGCTGGGAACAGCTTAGGGCTGAGTGGGGAGGGATGGGGGACCTGGATCCTGCGTCTTCACTCTGCTGGATGGGACAATGTGAGTGGAAGTGTCCTGCATCCCCAGTGCAAGTATCAGGTCAGGGAAAACATGAAGTCTCAGCATCATCAAAGCAGGTCCTGGGCTCTTGTGTCCTCTTCTCCCTGAGTGGGTCCAGCAGCCACTGGCTGAGAAGAGGTTGAGTTCTCCAGGAAGATGACACAGGCATGGAAGACAAATGCTCAGAGCTGTGATTTCCTTTGTCTCCTTGAGCAGAGGTTTCTGCTTTTTCTTGCAGTGCACAGAGAATGTCCTGTACTTGCTTTGGTTTTGCTGAACAAATACTGATTCCTTATCCAGCGGAAAATCGAATATTAAAGCAAAGAAAAAGTCTTTGTGTGGCCTCTCTTTCTCTCTCTCTCCCTCTCTAAGCTGCTGGTGGTTTGTGTAAGCACGATGAAAACATGTTGCTGTGCCAGGATCGAGCCTTATGCACTTACTGCAGCAGAAGTTGCATCCACCCCGTTAAAGTGAAGGCCTCCAAGACAACCTGGCTACAGAGTCCCATTGCACACAGCCAAAGCTCTGGAGGGGACAGGGCTCAGGAAACCAACTCTAGGGCTATCATCGCTATTAGTTTCCATGGCTGAAAGTCTTGCCTGGGAGAGTAACGGGAGCTTGTGCCAGGTTGACCAAGGAAGGGAAGTTGTCACCAGCGGCAAAATGATGGGGGCCTTCAGGGCCAGCTCTAGGAAGAAGTCCTCTTCCCAACTCAGGGCTGATCCCAGACTCACCTGAAGCATCAGCCTTCTTGGGAGACTGACACCTCCATTGTCCCCCATCTAAAGGCATCCATGCCCAGGCCAGACCATGCTTCAGAAGAGGCAGGAAGGGACAGGGCCGCTGCTGCACATGAGGTCCCTTCCAGAAGCGCATTGCCTGTTGAATTGCCTTCATGTTCTGCTCCAGACTGTATGTCATCAGGGATCCCACCTTTTCTTCACTCACTCCCAGTGGCATGCCTCTCCTGGCCATGTGACTCTGTCCTACCTATGAAAATGAATCCTCTCTCTGTGTCCCAAAGAGAGGGGAGAATTTGTACTACAGGCAAGGTGGCCAGGAGGTTTGCCTTCCTAAACCAATCAACTGGAGTAGGTCTGTGAACAGCCACGGGTGGTGGCAGGAGCTGCTGAATCCCACAGACCAGCCAAGGCAAGGCTCCATGGCCCCAGGTCCAGACAGGAGTGAGGCTGAACGTGTATGTGCAATATCTGCATATATAGATACATATGGAAGAAAAAGAACATGTATAGCCACACAGGTCAACACAGACAGAAAGCATTGATGTAAACGTAAACACATGTTGTAATCCAGCAGAAGGCACTTCACCAGAGCTGGCTCTGTCTTCCAGATGAATGAGAGCCACTGTCTCTGCCTTTTTGAAGCTGTAACATCAACTGTCTGATGGAAGAAACCTCATCCTGAGTAAAACTGAGAGACCACTAGTGACCTGACAAGGCACCTGATAAGGCAAATTTGAGATCCAGCAGAGCACATCTCCTCATCAGGTTCTCCATAGCCTGTATCAAGAAATCATCAAGGCACTCCAGAAACCTGAATTGCTTGTACTTTGCTGCTGAAAACAAAGCTTGGAAACTGCTGCGCAAACTGCTGAGCCTGCTGGCTCCCTCTGTTAGCTGCGCTCTCATACGTACTGCTGGGGCTCAGGACTGTGGAGCTGGTCTTCAGTCCCTGAAAGTGCAAAGCAAACAGGCACACTGGGAAGAACTTCCTGTGGGATTAAGTCTCTCGTCCTGTATTGTCACATGTCGTGGTTTAACCCGGCTGGCAACTCAGCACCACGCAGCCGCTCGCTCACTCCCCCCTCCCTCAGTGGGATGGGGGAGAGAATCGGAAAGAAAATAAAAGGTTAGAGCCGAGGGCTGAGATAAAGACAGTTTAATAAGAGAAAATAATAATAACAGTAATAATGAGAATGATAACAGAATATACAGAATATACAAAACGAATGATGCACAATGCAATTGCTCACCACCCGCCGACCGATGCCCAGCCCGTCCCGAGCCGCGATCACTCCCCGAGCCGCAATCACTCTCCCCGCAACCGACCCCTACCCCCCCCCCCCAAGCATGACATTATATGGTATGGAATAGCTCTTTGGTCAGTTTGGGTTAGCTGTCCTAGCTGTGCTGTACTCCCAGCTTGTTATGCACCTGGGTGAGCAGGAGAAGCTCAAAAAGTCCTTGAGTAGTCTGAGCACTACTTGGCAACAGCCAAAAACATCAGTGTGTTATCAACATTCTTCTGGTACTAAATCCAAAACACAGCACTATGTTAGCTACTATGAAGAAAATTAACTCTATCCCAGCTGAAACCAGGACATCACACCTGGTGGCACTTCCTCTGCGTTTTCTGCCTTTCACTTTGTCAGTATTCCCTTCTAGACTGCTTGACTTTATTTGACTGTTGCAGTTAAGTCTTTCCCTTCACATCGTTCTGAATTCAAGAAAACTGGAAAGCAGGACTCCCCAGGAGATTCAAGTTGATGGAAAAACTGCCATCAACCGCTGAAAATGAGTTAACTAGATCCACGCATTCATTTCTGAACATGAGCACACTTGCTATTCTTTGTTGGTGATTGGAACTCTCCCGTGCATTCTCCATCCTGCTTCGGGTGATTTGTTGCTTCTAAAACCAGGCACCTTCAGCATTCCCAACATGTGGTTTGCTGTGTTTCCACCTCTTAAATAGGAGCTGCAACTAATTTATTGTGTGGTATAATTTTGCAGAAAAGCTGATGAAGTTTTATCTTCCAGCTTCTGGATTTCAGCTTCTCAGATCCTGAGTACCTCTGAGGGAAGTTGCGTTTTGTCTTCTCCTGCAACTCTGAGTCCTGCAAGACACCTTGTTACTGCAATATTTTCCTTAGTTCATGTCCCATTATTCTTTTCTGTATCCATGCTGTGATTGTTGACTCTTGTCTGTACTGCAAGGGTCTGTGAAAGTATATTCAAGGTTCTCCAGTGCCTATTTCTAGGAGTTCACTTGTCATAACCAAGTACCACTGTCTGGTGGTTCAGGAGCTGGCCGTTCTGCACTTCCAGGTGCTACCTTGTTGTTCCCAGCACACTGATCTGACACATATATTTGTGAAGAGAAATAACCACAGGTCACTCATGAAAATCTCCATGACTGGAGCAGGTAGAAAACAGGTGAGAATCTTTACTTATAGAACTGTGGAAAGATGTAGAGGAAGACTGAGCTCATAGTGCTGGTGTTATGGAGCAGGAGAGAGAAATAAGTTTCTGCCATTTTGGAAACACAAGACATTTGCAATGGTTCCAGCGCCTTTCACTGAGGTGATAACCTCTACCACCACTGGTCCCAGCTGCCTAGTACCAGGACTGGTAAGGAGATTCTGTGCAGGCCAGCACAGAGTTTGGCTACTGTCATCACTTTGAGACTCTCTATCCCAGAGTGGGACAGAGCTGTTAGTCACCTGAATGTTGTGAGGCCACCTGTTGATTTGCTGGGAACAGTAGCTTGGTTTGTGATGCTGAAAAGAAAGTAATTTACTGTCTCTCTGCTTTAGACCCTGTGCACACAGCAAAGTGCTTTCACATGAGAGTGCTTGCACAGACCTTCATCTTGGTCAAATGGCCTGGATAGCAACAACTGATAAAACAGGAATGTGAACATAAGGAGCTGTGTGAACTGAATACCTGAAACGATCTGGGAGGGCATTTGCCCCAAACCCACTATTGTTAAAGAAGAACGTGGCCATCAACTGGCTTAACAGTAACCAGGGAATTAGTGAAAGGCTTTTGAGACAGAGAAGAACTAGTCTGAAAAACAAGTTTAGAACAGCAAGAACATTTTTCACAGAGAGAAGAGAGAGAAGTGGGAAGGAAGTGGCAGTTGAAATCTGGTTTGTCAGTTGCCCTGCAACAGAGCATCCTCCCTGTGGGATGCCATGGGTAGCCTGCATTCCTGGCAGTAAGGGGTGTGACATGTACAAACCCACAACTTCAGTGTGTGTACATGACCTTGTGCTTTCTCACTGGCCTGTGGGTTAGCAGACTGTAGGAAGTGGCATGGATACACACTGGCCCTATGACTCCAGCAGGAAGTGTGTGAGAACAGGGGAACCCCTGCTCCCAGAAAAGGGGATGTGTTCTTGCAGACTGTACTTCCTGTGGCAGGGGTGGGAAGTTGCTCAAGTAATCACGTGAATGTGTGTGTATGTGGAGGTTTTGGGAATGTATGTATGTGTATGTAGAGCTTTTGGGAATGAGTTACGTAAAGGTGTTTAGAAATTTGTAGGTGTTTATTAATATTTTGTGTCTGGTATTGTGCTTTATCTGTTGGATTGCTGATAGTGACCCTGAATATATAGGTCATGGTCTGTCAGTTAGTTACAAGTCATGAATAAATTGGTAAACTGCTTAGATCCATCCTGATTAGATTAAACCACATGAACTCAGCACATTTTCCTTCTGACAAGTTTTGTACCCTCTGCATTCTCCATACTGATCAGCCAAAGTCAGCTCCCCACCCATATGCGCAAAAGCAAGTATATTTTAGAGCAATAACAAAGAACAATGCATTCTCATTTTTGGGTACCTGTGGTGCAATTCAGTTCTGTTCTCCAGTGTGGCAGCTAGGAACTTTAAAAAATGTCACTTGAGAATCTCTCACTGCGCTTCGAATCCAGTAGCTAGTACCTTCTAGTAGCTCATACCTTCTACAACAATACCAGCAAGCATGCGTAGGGACCATCTTTCCAATGCAACAGAGCTGTTGGATGATTCGACCCTGCCTGCAGCCTGTCGTGCACAAAAAAACATATTCAGAGGATATTTTCTACATACAATTTAGGCTTGTCCTCATTGGTAACCAGTTTTGTGCCCTGCTCTTTTGAGACTTCAACTGATATGCTTGTGCTATTGTGTTAGCTTTCCCATTCCTTCCTCAGTGCACCCATGCATGCCTCTTCACAGGGAGAAACTAGCTGATGGGACATGGAAGACCAAAGGCTGCGTACCCACCCCAGTCCATTCAGAGTACCAAGAGATCCAAGGGATTCTTTATCCTTAGGGGTATCCTTAGTCCTTAGGGACACTTTATCCTGCAGGATATTGAATCAGGTCGCCTTGCTCAGTGCTAGAACCACCACTTATGGCTGTGCCTTTTGTAGTCATGACCAAGTAAAACTTCATGATCTGTAATGCACAGGGATTCTGGCACCGTCTACTGATCCCTTTTAACCTCCAGCTCCATAATGACAGGTCATATGCAAACCCTCCACTCAAAGTTTCATCCTCTTTTTATGAGCAATTAGTTAAAAAGAGTGTTGGCAAGTTCTTTGCTGTTCTCTGGGTTACTGGGCTCAGGCTTCACATAGGGACTTGCCCAGACTGAGTCACAGGTATGCTTTCCTGCCATTTTTTGACAGTTGCCCTTTTGCAGGACATTGTGAGTGGGTCTAGCCCTTTTCTAGCAAATACCAACAGCATACACATTTTCATGCACATACTCATTCACCGAGGAAGAACAAACACCAGAGAGGTAAGGCCAGTGGTACATCCTGTGAGACTTCTTGAATATGTGCAAAAGGAGGTCTGATCTGGAATGATACTACTCTTCATCTGTTTTCATTTGCCTCTGTGAGTTTCTGTGTTGCAACAAGCACCTTGTGAAATGCTGTGACAGAGAAATGATGAAAATTCCCCCATCTCCATGTGCTTCGGGGAACACCCAAGATATGGCTTTTTCTGCACAATGGATTAGAGACTGTGAAGGCTCCTTGCCAGTGTGGGAGCTGCCCTAGTGCAGTCTTCAGTTCAGGAGGAAGGCTGTATTCGTGGCCATATTGGCAATGTGGACTCTTGTTGGAGAAGAGTGATACTGTGGTAGAGATAATGAATCACCGAGGGAGAGTCAGTCCTGGAACTGCAGGTAACCATAAAGCCTTCCTTTCTGCCCTCCTGTAGAAGAAGGAGGAGGTGGGGGAAAATACGGGGCTGGGGTAGATAAGGGGCATGGTACAGTGGCTGGCCTCGTACCAGGAGAAGGGGCTTAGGACAAGAGCAAAGCAACAGCTGAGGGAACTGGGGAGTGCCCGGGCTGGGAGAATTACCTTTTTCCCAGAGCCAGAGGGAATTAAAGTCCAGGCAGACTATGGTCTGCCATACCCTTTGGTGTTTTTTTTCTGTAAACAATGGGACTGAAGAGTGCTATCTTACTATCATTATCCAGGTAAAATTATCTGCATCAAGATAAGCACAAGTCACTGCTCCCCTCTCTGGTTCTAAGGAGAACCAAGTGAGGGCTCTCCCAAGAGCTTCAAAGTGCCTGTTCTCCCTGTGGAAACAATCTCTTCTGTGTGTCTGCCTCTGCAAACACTGAGCTGGACAGTCACTCCTTTCAGTGACTGAACACTGTTGCATAGAAGGGCTTGGGGGATAGAAATATATGTAAAATAAAGGTAGAAGAGAGAAAGAAGCTCTGAAGGGAGATGAAGAGGAGGGAGGTACAGAAAGAGCGTTCAGTGAAAGACAGGAGTAATGGAGGGCCACAAGGAAGATGCATTGAGGAGAAAGAAGGTGTGACAGGACAAAGAAATGAGGAGTGCAGTTTGGGAAGACTAGAGGCAGGGCTTGTGATAAAAAGTGAAATAAAAGAGCAGCTTCAGTGCAGCTCCCATGTTGTCCTACTCTGTGGGTCTTACCCACTGCTAATGACAGGCAGCAGGACCTGGTTACAGCAACTCTGGGGTTCCTCAATCCTTGGAACGAGGGCACTAGCAGGCTGTTGGGGTACAGAGCCACCTGGCTTATCCTGACCCCGACTCTGGGCTGGGGGATTCCCACTCTTGCCTTGTGTTTTTCAGCCCCAGCAGAAGAGAGAAGCTGCTCCTGGCTGAACCCCTGGGTCTTCCTTGTTTCTGCCCTTGCCATCAAAACTGCCTTTGTAACCATCTGCCTTGGTGGGTTCCAGGATCTCTTAATTCCCCTGGGATGAAGGGAGCAGTGGACTGTGTTTTATCAGACAGAAAAACAATATCCTAGCCTTTCTGCCATCAGGCAAATGCCCTTCACTAAAACAGCCCATTCTTTTGCCCCTCTCCTGCCTCTGCCCTCTTAGTCAGGGAGTGGGGTCCCTTCCACAGTTAAGGCTTCATCCCTGGCAGGGCCTTCCCACTGCTCCTCTCACTTTCCCACCTGCTTGAATAAAGCCAGTCCTGGATGAAACCAGATAGGTTCTTCCCTCCCAGCAAAAGCTGAGAAGTGCCAGAGGGCATCTGGGTAGGTTTCCTGAAGGCTGGCTGCTGGATGTTGGCTCTCCTGACCTGGTCTCTCTCTCAGAGCTCCCTGTGACAACACTGCAGCCAAGGAGCCAGTGTGATCTCCTTGGAAATACTGGTACCAGGCTGCCCATATTTTAGCAGGGTGGGGGTGAACCCATCAAAATGCTCCAGCTGCATCCCAGCCACACTGCCTGGACCAACCGAAAGGGAAATCCTTTGCTTGTACTGTCCTCGAGTATCGCATTGCTCTGTGATGACTCTTCTGTTCTTAACTCCCTTGGGTGAGGCGTCAACACCCAACAGTTCTTCCCCTTCTTGATAAGGGTAAAAGTGGTGCTCCAAAGCTGCAATCCCCAGGAAGATTAAGAGGGAATGTATATTAATATTCCACCTTTATTAAGCTTATCCCATGACTTCTTTGACCCTTTCCTGACACCATCCGCAAAGGATGTCTAAACTGGTTTTGTCAGTGGGGAAAATGAGTCTGTCAGCCAGCAGGGATGAGAGGAGCTCCTCCAATTAATGCCTGTTCAAAGGAGGGAGTGACCAGCAGTGGGGGAAACAGCCTGCTCTTTCTCACCTCCTTGTTCACTACAGATTTCAGAGCTTGTTAATATAACAGAGCCCCTGTGGGGGCTCTAAGCCAGAAGGTGGAGGATAGGACAGGTTGCTCATGAATGAGGAGGAAAAGTATGACAGTAGCACTTTCCTCCTCTTTCCTCTCTTCCCAGTTGTTTTCCTTCACGGAAGCTATGGCCAGTACAAGACGCTGCTCCAGAACGCTACAGAGTGGCGATGTGTCCCCAACGTATCTGCAGGCAAAAGTGAGTGATGCTAAGAGCCTCATAAGCAACACTAAGAACCTCGCCAAGATTTACACTGGTGTCAGTCAGCCTTTGAGGTTGGGAATGTGATTGTCAGCCAGAGCTGGATTGTTTTAAGAAAGGAAGCTGGAGAACTCAGGAAAGAAAATGCCGCTGTATTGCTCAATTTTAGTTAGGATGCTATGAAAACATGTTCTGGGCCAGTGGAAGAGGGTGGGTTGTTCCAGACCTACCTTTGACCACCTTCCTACTCTTCATCTCTCAGTGGCCCTTGCACAACCACTCAACTGCTCGTCCAGTTTGCTAATCTATCTGAAAGTGCTTCATCCTTTTGTAAGGGCTGGTTCAGTCCAGCTCCACTCCCTGTGCTGGCCCACTGCCTGCCACGATCGAGCGTCGTGGGCAGTG